CCAGAAAGGAGGCTGGCGTAGCGGGCATAGAGACTGGTGGGGGATTAGAGACTACTTGGGGAGGGTCCCAGCTGGCCTCACAGATGAGACAGGAGGTTTGAAGGGGCCTGGCTTCGATTTAACAGGACCCCTGTGGCATACGTGGGGCCCAGTGAGGCCCAGTGAGGCCCAGCCAGGGTCACAGAATGAAATCAGACTGGGCTGGCCAGGGAAGAGCAGATCAGCTCCGAAGACTCCATGGGATGTGACAGAAAGAGGTTTAGGGCCTGAGCCCCAAGGGTGGACACAGACATTCATAGTGGGGAGCTGGACCCTGACTTGGACAAACAGGTGGCTGTGTGAACCACTTTGATTTCCAGACAATGGCCACTAATCCAAAGACACACATAACCAGAGCAGGTGGCCAGCTTGGATGTGACCCCCAGACAGCAGCCTGTAGCTTCTGACACCAGGTTGTTTCCACCAGCACTGATGGTTGAACCCAGTGATCCCATCATGAGGCAGACGGTGGTCCTCCTGCCCCAGCCAAGGAAACTGAGGCCCAGAGAGGGCAAACTCCCATCCAAGGTCACAGCTGATGAGTAGAGGGGTAAGGACTGGAATCAATGCTCTTAAAGCCTGTGGCTGTGAGGACTGCTCTGCCTCCAGCATCCCCCAGCTGAAACCAAAGCCAGATGCTCAATTTCCACCTGAGGAAAGACAGGCCAAAGAGACAGGGAGGGAGGGGTGACTTTTCCAATGCCACTCAGCAAGCTGGCAGTGGAGTCTGGAATCAAACCCAGTGCTCATGACTCTTGACCAGTGCTCTTCCCAGTGAGGCTGGTTGGAAGGAGCCTAGGGCAATTGAATGAACAAGAGCACCCAGTAAGCAAGACACAGTTCTGGAGCTCCTGCTTCGGTCCACCACCCAGCTTGACCACTTGCTTGCTGTGTGACCCTGGGTAAGTTGCTTAGTCTCTCTATGCTCCAGTGTTCTCAGAGTGACCAGGGCACCTGCTGCTGTGGAGTGAGAAGATGTAGCACCTGTGGAGGCTGCAGCGCCTTTCAAAGCCTTACACACTCACAACATGAAGCCTGTCTAACATCCACCCACGTACTCCCAAGGCATAGAAAGCTCCCAGCTGGGGACATCACAAGGGATGGAGCACATGGTGGGTGCTGCATCGGAAAGGGAGAACCAAGCCAGCCCCTGCCTCACTGCACTGTAACAAACAGCTCGAGGCCTGGGAAGAGCTGATACCAAGAACAAGTGGCAATATCAACCCACACCTATTCCACAAAGGTCTGTAGCACCTACTGTGTGCTTGAATTCTATGCATCAGGTCTTAGCAGCACACTGATAAGAACCAGCCTGTGCATTCACAAGGCACAGAGCAGTGAACAAGAGCCATTGACTGATATGGTCAGAGTCAGAAGAAAAAAAAATTGATGCTGGAAACAGAATAGGATCTGTTTGAATCAGGTGGTCAGGACAAGCTGAGCACAGACTGAAACTGTGGGAAATGGACTTGGGTAGATCTGGAAGGAAAACACTGCAGTTAAAGGGAACATCCATGCAAAGGCCCTGGGGCCAGTGGGAGTGTGCTGTATTGCAGGCCAGTGTGGCAGGAGTTTGTAAAGACCCAGGCACAGTAGGAGAGCAGCTCTGAGTGGCAGTGTCATAACTGAGTGCCAGGGACCACAGGAAGGATCCAAGGGTTCCTCTGTTGCAGGGAGGTGGGTGCAGCAGAAGCAGGGAGACCCCTGAAGGTATTCACAAGAAAGATATGGTGACTCAGGCCAGGGTAGTGGCAGCATGGCTAGCAGGTGAACTGCTCAGTCACCATGCTGGTCATTGAATCCTGGAACCTGGAGTATCAGATGTAAGCTGCTTTCTTCCCATCTGCAGGCCAGAGATTGCAGGCTCTGGCCAAAGACACAGGTTAGCAAGAGGAAGACCCATCCATCCACTATCCCACACTGGGGCAGGGGGCTCTAGAGTCAGACCCCAAACCTACGGCTCCACGTTCTCTGCAACCGCTGTGGGTGAGGGCACTGCTACCTACATCAGCCTCAGACCACCCAGCTCCCAACCCAAGGACCATCCTTTTTCTCTCTCCAGTGCTACTCAGCTAGCCTTGCAGGCCCCTGATGCCATAACCTCTGTCTTCCTGAGACACCCACATCCATAGGCCACACACACAAGGTAGCGGCCCACACATCACCCAAGTGCTAGCTGGCATCAGCTCCATCTGCTGCCTTCTACCCTAGGGCTCCTTCTTCCCTCCCCTAAGCCTGGACCTCGCCCCCGCCTCATGCTCTCCCAACCCTTCCACATGCACACCAAACCCAATAAGAAACCCAATTTTCAGGATGAACTTGGGAGGTTCTGTTCAGGGCTGCTCTCCTCTGCACGAGAGCAGGATCGCCTGTGCCTCCTCTTGGGAAGGAGAAGTGGGTTCTTTGTGTCAGGGCTGGTGACGGTGTGTATGTTTGGGACAGGCTGCAGTGTCCTCTGTGGGAAAGCGGACCTACTAGATGTCCCCATGTATGCCCAAGGCTGGAGAAGTTCCTCCAAGGAGAGCTGAGAGCAGCTGGAGAGGGAGGCCCTCTAAGCAGCCAAGGCTGACCAGCCACTTCCACAGTCAGCCCAGATGGCCAGGCTGCCTCACCAGGTTGCACCCAGCCACGAGGAGGGCAGACAGGCCTGGCCTGGGTGCTGCAATGGCCAGGGATGGCAGGGCAGCAAGATTTTTCTCCAGCCTTGTTGGGATGTTTTTCCCTCTTGGAGTAAAAAAATAAAATGGTCACAGAACCCAGAAGACAGGTTGTCATGGCAACAAAAGTTTGAAGCCAGGTACTTCCTGACACCCTTTCAGGCCCAGTGTTGAAGGTTGGATTTGGGGGCTATGCACATCAGTGGTGGAGACACCAAGCAGGCTCAGAATTACCTCCCTTACCGCCCCCCATGGCATTTCTCACCAACAACTATTCGCCAAGCTCCCCAAGAGTAGATTTGTGGTTTTCTGGGAGGGGGGATCTCTAGCCAACCAAGACCAAGGGAAAGCAATGGGTTGGTTTCTAGTCACCTAGTAGATCACACAGTTGCATCTGACTAATGCGGGGCTGGAGGTGAAAGTCTCATGCTCACTCCAAGTGAGCACCCCCATCTCCAGCCCCCAACTGCACCAGTCCCCTTCCCCATCACTCACTGATTATTCTCCAACTGAGAAGACAATTCAGAGTCCCTCATCAAAAACCCCCAGCATCTCAATTTTCTTATCTGAAAAATGAGTCTCCCACAAGCGGTTGCCTAGGCCAGAGGCCAGAACGGAACATGATTCTACAGGTGACAACTTTAGTAGGGCTGGTGCCTGTAAAGGACTCAGAATGCACATGAATTAACACTGCTTGTAAATATTTTTCGTTAATATGTTTTACAACACAGAAGTCAAGCTTGGACATCAAGCATGGAACAAGGACTGCACTACAGAGCTTTGAGGTTCAGTCTTCAGGGAGGGTCTGAGAGAACCAACAGACCAGTCAGGATCTCCTGTTGCCCCAGAGAGTCCAGACACACTACAGACACAGGGACAGAGCACAGTGGGTCAGGCTGCCAGGGACAAGGCCCAGCATGGCATCTGCTGGTGTGGCATGTCCCCAGGGCTGCATGTCCCTGACCTGCAGCTGGAGGAGGTTCCACAGCCATTCCTTCCAAGCCTTTGGGCTAAGTCAAGCACCAAGGTCTGTGGAGACCTGAACCCCAAAGGGTGCAGAGGACTGCAACACCGAGGCTGCCACCTGCCCGGTGAGGACTGGGCTTGTGGAAGGCAGGAAGATTTAGCCAAGAGTCTTTGAGGTTAATTTTTGTTTTTCTCTTCTGTTCTGTTCTTTTAAACCACATGCCATTGTGATACTCAAGTCCCGTACCTCAAGTCTTTGGCAAACTGCCAGCATGCTAAGAAAAAGTCACAGAAAAGTTCCCCGGGCCCTTCAACCCTCAAGCAAGGTACAGCAGGAAGGCAAGTCCATGAAACTCAAGACTGAACACTTTTATACATATCACAATGCAAATAGAAGACCTGCTACGGGCCTAGCAATACCCAGATGTGGGGGACACAGCGGGGCCCTAAAGAGTGCTAGTGACTGGAGGCAGAGCCAGGAAATTTCAGGCTGTGCTGAAGTGAGGACGATAAAAGCTATGGAGAGATCCAAAGAAGCCCAGACCTTGCCTCCAAAAGGATCCTGTCAAGCCAGAGGCTTCCTGGTGGCAAGCAGTAGTAGGTCAGGTGCACAGCAAGATCTCTTGTAGACTTATAGGCGCACATCTGGAACCAGCACCACCCACCGTGTGGCACAGTCCCCTGTCATCAGAGGTTTCCTGAAAACAACCCCAGCTTGCTGATGGCATCAGGGCAACTCCCTCCAGCCCTGGCTGCGGGGGTTGGGGGCGGCAGAGAAAGGGGTTCCTCTGCTTTCTGGAAAGCCAGCTCCCTCCCCAGTTCTGACGAATCCTTGTGCTAAGTGCAGCCTTCCTGAATCCCAGTGGTGTCCCGTTTTCCCGCCTGCCTCCTTTCGCGTCTCTTCGCACCCTCTCCCGGGAGGGGACCAAAACACCAAGGATTCCAGGGCTTCTGGCAATAGGGGTGCCCTTAGGCTTCCCCGCTCGCTGTTTCCCAACCCAAATCTCCCGGCTGGGCAAGCGAGTGGCAGGATCCGGGGCGGCTCCATGGGTCTGTGGTGGGAGGGGTCGCCCACACCTAAGGCCCCGGGACACCTAAGGCCACCGCCACCTCCATAGGCGGGACGAGGTGGATGGGGGAATCTAGCGCCTGCAAACCAGAGCGATGGGGCGAGGGCGAGAGGGACAGCAGCGCGCGCCCTGCGCCCCGCAACCAGGGTGCGCGCCGGAGATGGGTCTGGGCTGTCGCCGCTGTAGCCCTGCGATGCCCGTCCGGGTCCTGGCTGGGTGTCTGGGACGCGCCATATCGCGGCAGGGTCCCGCCGGAGGCCGCACTCACCGAGCCCGCCGAGCTGCTCCTCGCAGGAGTACCAGATGCCGGTGTGGAAGCGGCGCAGCAGGAAGCGCTCGTCCGCGGTCTCCCAGCTGTAGGGCTCACGGGCCGCACCCGGGGCGGCCGTGCCGTTGGCTGTGGCGTTGGCGCCCGAGTCCTGGCAGTTGGCGCCGCCGCCCTGGCCGCAGCCCGGCTTGGGCACCCGCTGCGTGCCCTGGCACCAGTGCGTGGTGAGGAAGGCGGTGGTGGCGAAGAGCAGCGCCAGGAGGTTCAAGGCCACGGCCAGGAGCGCTCGGCCGCGGCGGCTCGTCTTCATGCCGCCCGCAGCTCCGCGCGAAGTTGGTCGCGGCCCGCGTCAGCGACCTCTGCCCGCCGCGCCCCGGGGCTCGAGCGCCTGCGATGGGTACACGCGGCGCGGGCCCATGGTCCCCGGGGTGGGGAGCGCGGGACGGGGCGCGGGGACCCGGCTGGCCGTGGAGTGGATCCGGCGCGCCCGGAGCCCGGAGCGCGAGTGCGCCTCGGCGAGGACCGCCGGCGCCAGGCAGTGGCCGCGGCGCAGGGACGCGCACCCCTCCGTGGGGAGACACCTGCAGGCGGCCGGCGACACTGTTCTAGCGCCCGCGCGCACGGAGAGAGGGGGTGCCCCACGCTGGGCGCGGGCGGAGCACCGAGAGAGCAGGACACGCGCGCGAGATCCGCGCGGGAGTGGAGTGACAAGCTGGAGAATCCCAGGCAGAGAAGCCCGCGGGTTGCGGAGCAACACAAGGCACTAGGGGACCTGTCGTGCCAAGCCCACATGCTCCCCGCCAGTGAGAGCCTCCCCACTGGGACCCGGAGCAGAAGGGACCTCCCCCAGAAAGAAACCCCACTCCTGACCCCGGGAAGGGAGGCAGTTTTCTCTGGCTGTGCAGCCGGCCAACTACAAGAACCGCCTGGAGCTCAGGACAGGATAGGGATGAGAGACCACAGCGTTTGGAAAGGCATGCCTAGTCCCAGGTCACTCTGCTGGTGTAGGGACCAATCTGCCTACAAAGAGGGTGCAAAGCTGCAGCTCACACAGGGTGTGATAAACAGGGCTCCCTAACCCAGGCTGTCCACACTGGAGATCCTGAATAGCTTGACCCAAGTGGCCACATGTCAGACACCAAGTTGTAGCCACCAGGCAAGGGTGCTCTGCAGGCCCTGCCAACCTGGATGCCTAAGGCTGTCTGGGGCAGGATTGGTCACCCATACTAACTTTAACCAGCTATGTGATTAAGTCACTTGCTCTCTCTCAGCCTCACTTTCTATAGCTATAAAAAGGAACCCACCTCAGAGGCAGGGGTGGAGGAGCATCTGGCACATTGTGGGTGCTCAGTAAATACCGGCACTTAGTAACATCTGGACCAAGGAGTTGATGAAACTAAGACAACCAGCTTTAGGATCTCTTGCACAAACTAGGATTGTCCACCTGTGAGCAACCACCCCCACCCCCATCTCCACTTGCTCCAGGAAGATGAGCTGCGTCCTTCACTCTTCCCACTGCATAGTGCCTGGATGCCCAGGGTGTGCAACTATTAATTGCACATTGATTGCAAGAGCTAATTTGAATTCTGCCCAAACTGAGAACCGCTCCAGCCACCCCCAGCTTGCTGAGTGGCAGGCTTTGCAGAATTCAAGGTTAACATATTACGAATTGCTTTACTCCTGTGGGTGAGCCCTGCTCACTGCCAGCTGCTGCCACTCTGCCTGGGGGCAGGAGAGACTAAAGCACTGTGGGTAATATCCCTGGCAAGAACTGGCACAAAGCATGGCCAGGGGCCCCTAAATTTGATTATCAGAGTTTTTTTTTCTGGCCCCAAGCAAGAGGTTTCCAACTATTCTGAGACAGAGAACCAGTGGGTAGTGATGATGCGTGTAGGGTGTTGGTTAACTCCAAATTAAGTCACGGGCAAACAGCCATGAAGAATCGGGCAGCACTAAACAGACATGCAGTATGTGTCATCTACACCAGTCCACATCAAAACCAACCCTGGAAAGTGTGACATGACACTTCTTTGGCCTTGAGACTCAGTTGGTGTTCATGTGACAGGACATGTTGCTCTTTGAGCTGGGAGGGTTCAAAGCCAGGAGATGCCCAAGGAAATAGTCTCAGAGACTGTTCTCCTAAGTGACACCCAAGGGAAGCACAAATTGGTGTGACATTCTGTCTAAGGCATCCAACCTCCCACGAGCAGCCCTGGGAGAAACAAGACCCTAAATGACATTAGTAAGACCAATGCAGACTGTACAGGGGTGAAGGGCAAGGGAGGAGTAGACGTGGGTGGAGCTTCAAGATAGGCTTCATGGGATGGTAATATTGGAGTCAAGGCTAAAAGGAGGTGAAGAAGGCACCTGAAGTGCTCCACTAGGAAAAGGAAACTTCAGCAGGAGAACCAACAATACACCAGCCTGTAGCCAAGCTTGCATAGCCTCCCCATCCCCAGCAAGGGACAGAGGTGACAGGAAATGGGGACAGATCACAGAGGTCTGTATAGGCTTTTACTGCCTTGTGGGGATCTTTGGAGGTCTGGGTAGAGGGGAGCCAAATCTATCCCATAGGAAAGGGCCATTCCAGCTGTCAGGTGAACAAGGGCAGGAGCACAGAGCAGCTTGGGGGCAGGTGAGTGATGCCAGGGCTCAGACAAGGTGGTGTAGTGACCAGGGAGGCTCTGAGTTGGATTTTGTTTTTGTTTTTAGTAGTGCTTAGGATGGACCCCAGGGTTGTGTCTGCTAGGCAAACCCTGTACTACTGAGGGTACTCCCATCCCTTCTAGATTGGTTTGCAAGGTAGATTCAGCATGATTTGTTCAAGGCAGGATGGACCACAGGATGTAAGGACACCCGACAAGGATATCTACAAGGTCAAGGGCACTGTTTGCTAGGTGGATGCAGATAGCTAGTGGGGGCAGGGGATTCAAGTTGGGACTGATTTTGTGCTGGGCCTTCCACAGAGCTGAGGAAAAGGCACAGAGTGGAGCCACGCCAGTGGGAGGCACAGCGTCTCAGGCCTGCCGGCCTTCCCAAAATACCTCAGGTGGCCCCTTGGATACAGTGGGTGTTTCCATCCAAATAGTGGTAGAGCTGCTGCCAGGCAGGGTGGCATTGCCACCCCATGATCCTAGCTTCCCAGAGGCCAGAGGATTATGAATTAAAGGGCAGCCTGGGCTACATAGTAAGACTCCACTTCAAAAAAGAAAAGATAATAATCATATAGCAGTAAGGACATTGGCCATGGACAGAGGTTGGTGTGAGATTTAAAACACTAGAAGTCTGTACCCAAGCCCCTAGTTCCCACCTCTGCCTATGGCTGTAGGCCAAGGCCTGCCGGCAACCTCCTGTCCCCAGCCCTTGGCCCCTGCTGCCAGGAGGACCAGCCCGGCTCACCTTGGCAAGGTCTGCAGCAGTTCCCATTGCCTGCCCTGTAGGGCAAGGTTCAAATGCATGAGTTCAAGGTTCAGCACATGATGCAAACACCACTGACTTCTCCTCATGCCACCATGAGAGCACCAACTCCTCTGTGGCTTCTGACCCTGTTTGTGGAAAGATCCAAGCCTTGGTCAGGCTGTCCCCTCTTCCTAGAGCAGCCTTGCCAGCCTATCCTGCTCATCCTTCATGATGTTGTTGACCTCCACTCTTCCTGTCTGGGCAGTGTCAGCAAATCACTCTAATTGATGGTGTCTGTCTTCAGACCTATGTCCCCACGGGCCGGGGGCCCTCAGGTCCCCCTGCCAGGCAGCCTGCAGGCCAAATCTGGAGTTCATTCAGTTTGACCTGAATGGACTGGATGGAGTTGGCTCCACAGTGTGCCATTGTTTCCTGAGTGGCCAACATTCAAGAATTAAGATTTCTCATAAAAATATAGACCTCAGCTTCTCTTGCAAGATCAAATTACCTGCCAACACGAAACCTGTATTTGTGCCTGACAAACATTGGCCAAGATCCCTGTACAAGGAACGAGCAGGCATGGAGCCCCCATTTTTCCAGCACTTAGGAAATCTGCCAGGCTGCTGGTGCCTTTGAGTGTGAAAACCCAGAACCAAGACCCCAAACAGTTATCAGTTATGAGGTTATATGTGTGTGCATTGTACATGTGTGCAAAGTGCATGTTGAGGCCAGAGGTCAACCTCCAGTGTTGTTCCTTGGGACCCATCCACCTTGTTTTTTGAAGCAGGTATCCATCCCACTAGGACCTAATGGCTTGCCTTTGACTAGGCTGGCTGGCCATTGATCCCCAGTGATCTTTCTGTCTCTGCTTTCCCAGCACTGGGATTGTAAGTGTACACTACCACACCTGACTTTTTTCATGGGTTCTGGGGATCAAACTAAGGTCCTCACTTTACCAAAGGAGCTATCTTCCCAGCCCTATCAAAGTCCAGGCAATAGTTTCCCTCAGGGTAGGAGAGGCTATGAAGGGAATTTGGGGACTGGTCACCCAGTACGTTCAGCTCATGAAAAGTCACAGGCTGTACAACTGGGAATTGTACATTTGTTTTACATAAAACAAAATTTACCAGAAAAAAATGTTGCTATTAACAATGCAAGTTGTACTTCTCAGGAAATAGGAACATGCTTTGAAAGGACATGTTCCCAGTGGGCTTGATTTCCACTCTTCCCTCCAGTCAGCTGCTACAAGCCCTTACCTTTCAGAGCTTCCTGTTTCCTAAACCTTCAAAACAGAGCTGGAGAAAGCAGAGCCTCAGGGCCTCTGAGCCTTCCTAATTATAGCAAGAGATTAGGCACTTGCCAGTTGTTGGGAAGGTTTTTAAACAGTCTCACAGTATCTCAGCTCAGTGCTCACTCCACTCCTCTGGCTAGACCACCAGGCTGACAAGCTACCTGCCTGGGAGGGAGGAGCCTACAGCTCTGAGCAGTCAAAGCCTTCTCTCCCCAGGGGGTAGGGTCTCCAAGGAGAAAGAAGGCAGCCTCATTAGACAGCGATAGGCTGAAACTCCTCCGTCTGTCCTTTTGTTGTTTGTGGCACCAATTATAAAATCTAGACCCACACATGCCAAGCAAGCAAGTGCTGCCAACCTGGCCCACAGCCTCTCAGCGTGTTCCTCACAGCGAGCACAGCTGGCTCTTCAGGCTCTTCAAGAAGTTTTTCTCAGTCCTTGCCCTGTGCAAAGGGATCCATGAACAGGACTGCATAGAAAGCTGGGCACATACCTGTCATCTGGGCGCTGAGTCTGAGGCAGGACCATGAGTTCAAGATCGCTCTGGGCTACATAGTGAGACCCTGCCTCAAAAGAAATTTTTTTTAATTAAAAAACAACAACAACAAAAGGGCAACCCAGGGCCACACAGGGCTTCTGTTCCAAG